GATGTCTCTGACTTTAAATATGATTAGCTAATAGAAAGTTTGAGCTTGATTCCAGGCCCACGAAAGATGTCTCTGACTTTAAATATGATTAGCTAATAGAAAGTTTGAGCTTGATTCCAGGCCCACGAAAGAGTGTCTCTGACTTTAAATATGATTAGCTAATAGAAAGTTTGAGCTTGATTCCAGGCCCACGAAAGAGTGTCTCTGACTTTAAATATGATTAGCTAATAGAAAGTTTGAGCTTGATTCCAGGCCCAGGAAGAGTGTCTCTGACTTTAAATATGATTAGCTAATAGAACTTGTCAAATCTTGACAGAATCTTTAGTTGCGGTTTTTCACCCAATTTGCATTCTTATCTAACCACACAAGATCCAATATTTGGCCACAAAGATGTGTTCTTTCTAAAAGTTCTTTTAAAACTATAGACTATCTCCGGCAACGTTGATACTGTAAGAACTCGCGCCCCACCGTCAATAGTTTGAATTAGTCACCCTTGGTCCCCCGCTGGGACAGCGGTAAGTCTACGGATTTACAACCCTAAAATCAGGGGTTCGATTCCCCTCGGTGAACACAGCAGATAGCCAGATGTGGCTTTGCTATAAGAAAAACAGAAACACACTAGTCACCCCCCTGGTTGTGGATTTGTTAAGAGCAGAACGACTTTATAACACCAAACCTAACACCCCACACCTTCAAAAATCTGAAGTAGTTAACAGGTTTTTGAGAACAAATCAAAACATTGTAATTTTTTTTTTACAAATTCTCACCAAACATATTCGAAACCCAAGTAAAAACGAAACGTGTTCAAACATGTTTATTGCATGTGTTTTTCTTTAAAATATGAAAATGTAATATTTTGTATTAGCATAGAAGAACATTAACAGTATTCTGAAAATTGGCTTTTAAAACATTTTGATGCTACAGTATTACATAAAAATCATGATCTGGATATTTTACAGTAGAAAAAAAAAGAGCTTTTTTTTGTTAAATTTTAACAACACATACTCAGAAAAACTAACATGCATCCAATCCATAAGAATCGCTCTTAGTAGGCCTTACACCTGTACATATAATTGTTTTTTTGTGTATTTGTTTTCTCTTCTTCTTCTTTAGGTTCTTACGCAATGGACGGACAGACATCCGTTTTCCTAAATTATATTATTTTGCTAGTAGAATATTTCGAATTTTGACAAAGTATTTAGATTTATAGTATTTCAAACCACGAACTAAAACTAGGTACCATTTCCCCCGGTGGGACAGCAGTAAGTCTTTGGATTTACAATGCTAAAATCAGGGGTTCGATTCCCCTCGGTGGACGCAGCAGATAGCCCAATGTGGCTTTGTTATAAGAAAACATATACAGTAAGTACTATCGATTTCATATTAGACGAGCTGAATAGAAATCTTCCTTATAAAAAAAAAACATTTTCAGGGACATAAATGTTTAACACGTTGGCTGCCACGCGGGTCACGCACAGTTATGTTTAAAAGCCAAATTTTTCTTGTGGCACGTGCATTTGGAACACTTTGACTGCTCCTCGGTACCTCTTGGATGTTTAATTTTATTTATACTTTATTTGTTATGTGGCAACGAACGTGTTAACCCATCGAATGACCGCGCCCTGGATAGAGCTAGGTAGAATTGGCTCAGCTGAGTGTAACCCGAACGGACAAGCATCCATTCTCCAACATTACGTTGTTATATCATTTGCTGATTAGTTGTGCTAATTTACATTTTTCACCGGCGACTTAATGTTTTGTAAAATAGTTTTGTTTTTTTTCTGTTTTCTTTTCTTAAAAGAAGACACTGTCGCGAGCGGGCAAATTGTGACCAAGTTGTTACCGTGCTCAAATTATGGATCTGAGAATCCGTGGTTTGCGTCCCGTTCGCGCTCACACTTACGGTCGTGGGTGCTTTAAAAGCGTGATGGTCGAATTCAACTATTTGTTCTGAAAAGAGTAGTCTAAGAGTTGACAGAGGATGGTGTTGACGGGCTGCAACCTCCCCTTTAGTCTATCACATCAACATTTTGGGCGGTTAAAGCATGTAACTGTCGTGCAGCATTGCAATAATCCAACAAAACAAACAAACTGTTGGGACATAAAATCTTCTGTGTGGTAGCTGAGTCCAATTTTTTTTTTCCTGAGATTTTCTGATCTAATTTCAACTAAAGCCTAATATAAACCAATATTTAAGTAAGACCAACGATTATTTTTTTTTCCTTGTTTACGTAATAAGAGTACTGTTGTTTAATAGAGGGCGCTTTGCTTTAGGTATGAATAAGGGTTACTTATTTACTGTATTTTATGAATATTTTTAATAAGCAGTAGGAAAGTAAACAAGCTTACTGCTCCAAATATTCGAGTTTAAATATTTTCTGTGCAAACTAAAATAAAAAAATTACAAATTCCTTGGGAAAGTTTTCATTCCGAATGTTTTCTTATTAAATAAAATAGCCCATATAAAGCGCCATCTATATATGCCAAAAGCCAAAACATAAATACCGATATTAACGAAAAACAAGGCCTAAGCTCAAACGACTGTAGTCAAGTTGTACTAAGGGGGAGAAGCTGTTCGAAACTAACTTTGATGTCTGATGGCCAATTTTACTTTTTTTGTTGTTAGAAACTTCTTCAAAAAATAAAAATCAGAGCATTTATCATTTCATTCTCCTGAATGAAAACTGTGCATTTTTTTATTTAACGCTTAGTACAGTGCCCTCTTGTGACCAGATACCTTAATCACTACAATTTTTAAATTTCGGTGTCTTTCAAATATTATTTTTCTATAATTAAAGGCTCATTCATAAATTCTGCTGTTCTCACGTAAATACAAAAGGTGCGCTGGGAGGAGCTGAGTAAGCCAATAAAATAAATTTCGAAATGACGTCATATGCTATTAATAAATAACTTTCAAAAGTTTTGAACAGCAACTTAGTTAAACTTTATGGACTTAAACTCGTCTCTTCTGTTCCTGCGAGTACCTATTTATAATGGGTTATGTCCGATACCATATTTAAAAATCTCGACAGGTGGTTAGGGCGCTCGACTCGCAATCGTAGGATCGCGGGTTCGAATCCCCGTCCCACCAAACATGCTCGCTCTTTCAGCCGTGGGGGCGTTATAATTTGACTGTCAATCCCACTATTCGTTGGTAAAAGAGTAGCACAAGAGTTGGCGGTGGGTGGTGATGACTAGCTGCCTTCCCTCTAGTCTTACACTGCTAAATTAGAGACGGCTAGCGCAGATCGCCCTCGTGTAGCTTTGCGCGAAATTCAAAACTCACATGTGTTGTCTTTGAGAGGGGGTGTGGGGTTTCCTAAAAGCGAAAATTGTGAATGACCTCTAATAAATGGGACAAGTAAATTTGGTGGTTGTAATTTAATAAGAATTAATTATTTATTATCTTCTTAAATACTTTTGTAGTGTTTGTGTTGATAATAAACTGCTCAAATTTGAACTACGTGAAATTATTAACACACCTAATTATTTATATTCTTAAAAATAAAAACAATGTGTATATTAAACCAGTTTCTCTACATTCGTTTAAAAAAAACTGCGTATGTTTGTAAAAGTATCGTTATTCAATCATAACATTCTAAACAAAATAGATAAACTGACACTTTTCGGGTATTA